AAACGCAGCGTCTGAAGACAGGGGAAAATCCCCGGTCAATGCCAAGAATCCCCGACCGGGGATTTCCGCTCTGTGCCCGGGCCCCCTTCTGCTTCTCAGAGACGCCCGAAGCAACAAATCCCCGGTCTGCTCCAAATAATACCCGGCCGGGTATTTCTGCTCATGGCCGGGTATTTTTCTCCTCCAGCACACTTCACCCCAAACGTGCTCCTTTCGACCCGAAACTAGTTTCTTCGCCTCGATGCCAACGCTAAGCCCTGAAATATGACATAAACGCACAACCTAGCGTGAAATCAGCTTAAAACACGAGAATCAACATCTCAAACGGCTCAAGAACAAGGGTTAAAACATGTGTAATCAATGGTCTATCAAACTCCCCCACACTTAACCGTTTGCTTGTCCCCAAGCAAACCTGACTCAAACCAATGCAGCTCTCCAGACCTCTATAGCAACAAACAACCCCGATCGTCGGTAGAGGATTTTCTAGATCATATAGCAGCTTACGAGGTCAACTGGTCTTCTAAGACGTCCCCTATCTCTCTCAATGCGAGTACTAGACTCAAGCCAGGATCATGAGAAGAAGTAAACGTAAGACAGTCAGTTCATGGATAAAGAGACTCATACCATTCTTAACCAAGGACTCGTTGTACTGGGGTGCTTTTTCACTTCATTTCACCGTTGGAACCCCTTTTTCACTTTTATTTTACTTCTTTTTTTTCTCATTCACTAAGCAGGGGTTCCAACTGCAGTCTTTTGCACGGTCGACCCTTATTAGTCGAGCAAGAGCAATTTATGTACATCTGGAGCTCGCCAGAGTACTTCTTTTAACTCCTTTTCCTCAACTCGTGTGGAGGGTCAATGAAATTAAGGGGGGTCGGAAGCTCTATCCGTTCCCTTAAAAACACATCCTCAAGTAGGCAAACCGTTAAACGGGTGAAGATTTAACTTGTACTAGAGACAACTTAGCTTCACCTTGTAGGAGTACCCCACTAAGGATCACTAAAATCTCTTCCAAAACCTAATTTTTGTGCAATGAACGGTGCCGCACACGTTGGGCTTACCCCATGTTTAAGATTTAATGATTTTGACATGGAGGACCAACTGCATTCCATTTTTCACATGAGCACCCTGTTCGATACACGAGTCTATAACACAATCCAAATAGAGTCACCATTATCACATGAATTCAACAGTCTTAGCTCCACTAATTCACAAAATCAACCGGCACAACAGAGAGTTAGATAGGAAAAATCTTATACTTCAACATCCTCCATAGTGCTACACTACCTCCCTAGGTTGCACATTACTATAGAGACTGTCAATTCAAAGCATACTAAGCAGGCAATTTGCAAGGAAACACGTACTTGGAGCCCTCAAATTTAAAAATTTGGACAGTGGACTAGGCTCCAAGCACACAAACAGATCTAATGCAATCAAAAGAGAAACATCCCCTCCACACTTAAGATCGACATTGCCCTCAATGGAGAAGAGGGAATGATAAGGGGAATGATGTTACCGGTGTGCACGGACTGCATGAGACTGGAAGCGGACTAGTCTGAGTGAAGCGAACGGGAAACAGACCGACCAGTCAGGGACAAAGCACAGCTAAAGGGAACAGAAGAACTCAAACATAATACGTTAGGTCCAATGGTCAGCCCAATAGTACATCATTCAAAATAAAAAGAAAGAAGATAAAATAAAATAAAACACAAGACAGTTTTCACTTTGACAGAAATGAAAACAACACAAAACGGGGCCATGAGTACAGCCTACTCGAGCCCGGAGAAGTCGATCTGGTCCATGATATCGTCGTCCCCCCCCCTCTGTGGGTGGTGGTGGTGGTGGTGGTGAGTGATCCCACCGGGTGGTCCAGTGGTGCTCCTCTGGTGGGTGACAAGATTGGAGCAGGTGCTCCGTGTACTCCATCAACCGGCGGCCACGATCCAGCTCCCGCTCGATGAGAGCACCAGTGACTCCCATCTGGGCCTCCATCCGGTCGAGGCGCTCGTCTACGACTGTCAGCCTGGACTGGTACTCGGCCTGGTGGGCTGAGTACTGCTAGTAAAACTGGACCTGATGGTCCATGAGCTGCTGGTTCTGAAGCCCGAGCTGCTGGAACTAGAGCCCCATCTGCTGGATTTGCTCCGTGAAAAACTCCATCGACGGGCCAGAAGCCATCGACGGACCAAAAGGACTGGAGGAGGACCCGCCTCTCTCTAATCTCCGTCGTGGCTGAAGGTCCCCTGGTGGAGAGAGTGGGGGCTCCGGCTCATCAGCATCCATGGCCCCACCACCGTCATCATCGTCATCCTCCTCGCCGGTGTAGTCATCATCCTCCTCGTCTTCATCGAGGTCCGCATCCTCCTCAGGGGGAATGGAGAGCCCATCCACCTAGGAGCGGGTGCCAATAGTGGCCAGGAGGAGTGCATTGTGGAGCACGTCCCGGCTGAGGGGGGTGGAGCCGTCCCGGACAGTAGAATCTGTGAGTCCCTCAAAGTTGATGTCGAAATGGCGCGCCAGGAGGGTAATCAGAGGACCACAGAAGAGATAGTTGGGTTTCCCGTGGCACCAAGAGAATGTGGTAGCCACGAAAGAACCCAAATGCAGCATGTGCTCCGGGTACCCAATCGAGTACATGGCGTACAGTACTCGCTTCGGCATCTTGTGGGAGCCAGTGACATTGGGGACGATGGATCAGGTGATCAGCAGATTAAGAATATGCCAATGCGGCTTCAGGGTGCGGACATATGTCTGGCTAGCATCGAAGTAGTCATACCCATAGGCGCGCCTGGCTACCCGACGGTAGAACCCGTCTATGTTCCAGTCTGTCGGGTTCGGGACCTCGACCTCGTGGCGTGAGTGCGGGTGGTACTCGATCCCCATGGCGTAGGCCAACCCGTCAATGGTCGGCTCTCGTGGGTGGCCACCCCGCCTGAACGTGACCGGCTCTCGTAGGAGTCCCGAGCCGCCTTGGGACGGTACTGGAACGTGGTGTAGAACTCCCACACCAGCTCGGTGTAGGTGGGCTCCTCAATCGTCAGCAACGTCCGCCAATCCCGGTGGCTGATGGAGGTGGAGAGCTCCTCTATGCAATGGAGCTGCTCGAAAACTGCCCACTCCAGATGGTAGTGGCGCTCCAGTTTCCCGCGGGCGACCTTGCGGAACTGGTCCGCGTAATCCGGGTGCAGGCGCAGGTCCTGCACAAACGGATGGTCGAGTGACATGTTCCTGCAAAATCAACAAACCAAAGGTGGAGCCAAGCAAAACTCGTCAGGACCACAGTATGGGTTCATCACTTCCCTCACACTTAAGGACCACCTAGGCTAACAGTTTAAGCATAACCGGTTGAATTGCAAGCAACTCAACCGTAATCAAGGCAGGAATCAAACACAACCGACCAATTCAATCACACGGGCAGCACACACACAATAGCCATAGCCATTCATACTCAAGGCATCGCTCACCCTATCCTAATTCAATCATGCCAGGCGAACACAGTTCTCGGTCCTACAATCTACAGTTCGATTTTCCACAAACAGAGCAGTTAACAAGAAACACACATGGAACTCAAGTAGAATTGTAGTTAGGGCACAAAAAACAGGTGAGGGACGCGAAAAGGGGGCAGAAAATGACCGGAAAGTCGGCGGCGATGGGGTGGCAGCGGCCGGCGGCGGCGGAGGGTGGCGGCGGTCGGCGGCGGTTGGCGGTCGGCGGCGGCGACGGTCGGCGGCGGCTGACTGTGCCCGGCAGCGACCAAGGGAGGAGAGAGGGCAGAGGTTTTTGGAGAGGAGGAGAGGGAAAATTTTGAAAAAATGAGGGTAGAGAGAGAAAACTTACCCGGGGTTTGCTTAAATAGCAAAAATCCCTCGTCGGGGCTCAAAAATACCCGGTCGGGTATTTTGAGTCCACGACCGGGGGTTTGGAAAATGTCGCGTTTCATGAGATGGAAACCCCCAGCCTTGAGCCAAAAATACCCGATCGTGTATTTTTGGGTCAAGGTCGGAGATCCTGAAACGCATTGTTCAAGGCTGGGAAATCCCCGGCCTTGAGCCTCGAGTATTTTTGGGTCAAGGTCGGGGATTTGCCCTTTGGGCGCCCCGGAAGGCAGAAGGGGTCCCGGTCATGAGCCAAAAATACCCGGCCGGGTATTTTGGCTCAAGACCGGGTATTTTCCCCTTCTGACCAAAAAACTCAAACTCCCAAATTTTTGACCTCCCCTGCATGAAAACACCAAACTGAGGCATAACAGACGACCGAACTTCAACACAGACATGCAACTGACCCAACACGACACAAAAACACAGAAAAAGGGAAAAGTAAATGCAAACCGTGGTGGGGTTGCCTCCCCACAAGCGCTTCTTTACCGTCTTTTAGCTGGACGCCCATGGTGGATACTCAGTGGGGTGCAGGGACAGGTGCCTCCAAGAGCGGATCCACATCACTCTTAAGGTACAGCTTCAGATGGTGGCCATGCACCCGATGGGTGCAACCACCAGCATTGGTCAGCTCGACCTGGCCATCCGGCAAGATGCAAGCGAGTGAGTACTCGGATGGCCAGGGTGGTCGTGGTGCAGGAGGTGGGACCAGCTCAAAGTGGTCTCCACCTTTCTTCCGAGCAGGCTTAGCCACCTGCGGCTTCAGCCGCCACTCCTCTTTGAGCTATTTAATTGGAGGTGAGGTGGAAGGGAGCGGCGGCGAAGGCATGAGAGGGGAGTCCTGCAAAACGAGAGGCACAGAGGGGTACACGACAGGCTCGTGTACCTGGTGAGAAATAGCATGCATAGGTGTGACAGCAGGCATATCACAATGATCTTATTCAGCCACAAAGAAAGTAGCCTGTTCATTCCCAGCACGCAAGGTCAGTTTACCACTATGCACATCAATGAGTGCCTTGGGCCTTGGCGGTGGCAAGGAATGCCTACCCAGAATCAAAGGCACATCCACATCTTCATTTATATCCAGAATAACAAAATCAACAGGATATGTGAATGCGCCTACTTTAACAAGCAGATCTTTTATGATACCCCTAGGATGCACAATAGAGCGATCAACTAACTGAATGCTCATCCTAGTAGGGCTAAGTTCACCTAGGTCTAGCTTTGTAAACAAGTTGTATGGCATGACATTTATGCTAGCGCCTAGGTCCGCCAAGGACTTCCCTACATGCATGCTGCCAATAGTAAGAGGGATAGTAAAACTCCCTGGGTCCTTGCACTTTTCGGGCAGCTTGTTCTGCAAGATGGCAGAACACTCCTCGCTCAGCATCACTGTCGAAAGATCCCCAAGTTTCTTCTTGTTGCTGAGGAGATCCTTCATGAACTTGCCGTACTTGGGCATCTTCGACAGTGCCTCCATGAAAGGTATGCTGGAAGTTGAGCTGCTTCAACATTGCCATGAACTTGGCAAACTCAGTCTCCAGCTTATCTTTGTGTAGTCGAGTGGGGAAGGGAAGCTGGGGTACATGCTCTTTAACCACTAGCTGTGGCTTGGGAGCACGGGCTTCCTTCTCCACTCTCCCTTCTGCATCGTCGGCTGGAAGTGCTGAAGCAGGCAGTGGCTCTCCCTCCCCATCCTGGGCAGGTACCGCCGAAGTGGTCTTGCCACTCCTGGTGGTGATGGCATTCAGCTGCTGGTGTGGCTCCCGTGGATTGGGTATGGTAGTTGCAGGTAGAGTTCCTGGTGCCCGGGTATTGTTCTGACGAGCTATTCCTCCAAGCTGATGCTGGAGGTCCTGCAGTATGTCACCTTGATTCCTCTGACCCGCCTCCAACGAGGCGATGCTTTGGTCAATCCTGGTAAAATTCGCTTGGCTGGTAGTCATGAATGCCGCCAAAATGTTCTTCAGCTCGGTCATCTGATTATCGGGAGCTAGAGCTGCTGTTGGCTCGACATACTGATGCTGGGGCTGCTGAAATGGTTGCCCCTGCCTCGACTGGTAAGGCTGCTGCTGAGGGATTGGCCCCTGTCTAGCCTGGAAAGGCTGCCTCTTCTGAAAACCACCTGCTGGTGCTGGGAAACCAGGTAGTTTGGTGGTGTTGCCATTCCAAAAGAAGCTGGGATGCTAGCGCCACCCCTCATTGTATGTGTTACTGTATGGATCGAGGCGCCGAGCATTGGCGATGAAGTCCAACTACTCCTGGGGAGTAGAAGACTCCCGCATAGCCTGGTAGTCTTCCACTAGATAATTTGAGCTCTCACACCACTGACATTGAGCTACTGGAGGTGTAGACAAACCTCTGCCCGGAATAAGACTGTTGGGCTGCTTCAATGTCTGCACTAACTCGGCCACTTGCTGCTCGAGCTCATCCGTTCATCTTAAACCAGTTCGTCAGCTGCAGGAAACGGGAAAGATGCACCCTTGCCTCCTCATCCTTCAAGCATGAAACTAGATAGAGGATGTAATGAGTTGAATCCAGCATGGCTTGATCTCGAAATTGTTCACTGGAATCGGCGGATAGAGGATGACAAGGCGGATATCAGCAACCCGTGGAGTGTAGTAGTACTCCAAGGTGGGACCCGGCGGCGGTGGTGGTGGATGGTGAACCCCATCTGCCTGGGGTATTGGGTTGTTCCCCAGGATCTGGTTCACTGGGGGAACCCGGAGAGTTATCCCCTAGGGCGAGTTATGGTCTCCTTCCATCTCGTACTCATCCTCGGACTCGCTGCTCAAATGGCCGTCTATGCGCTCTTCCGTAGCCAGTCTAGCTCGCTGTTGTCTCCTAAGTTGGCGACAGGTGCATTCAACCTCTGGATCCAATGGCAGTAAACCTCCTAACTGGAAACGGGTCATCCACTACCTGCACACAGTCAAGCAGCAAACCCGTGAAGGCACAAGGGTGACAAAGCGAACAATGCGAAAAAGAAAAGCTAAATTAACAGAATTCACGTTTCTTCAACAACCTAGGCGTCCCCGGCAACGGCGCCAAAAACTTGACTCGCTCTTACCGTCACTCTAGAAAATGGCCAAGTGTAACCACTTCCTAAAGCGTAGTATAGCGGGTTTTAATGTCAATCCGGGTCCTAGATGTGATGGAGATCGATCTATGACACTTGCAGAGTCAAGTTTGTCACTTTCTCTCTCTCTAGGTATCGCTCTGTCTCTCTAAAACTCGGAACCCTTTGTCTTTTGCCCTTTTTTTCCCTTAAAAAGCTGTGTGTCGCGATCCCCGGTCTGAATACCCGGTCGGGTATTTTGGGTGGCGACCGGGTATATTCAAAACGCAGCGTCTGAAGACAGGGGAAAATCCCCGGTCAATGCCAAGAATCCCCGACCGGGGATTTTCGCTCTGTGCCCGGGCCCCCTTCTGCTTCTCAGAGACGCCCAAAGCAACAAATCCCCGGTCTGCTCCGAATAATACCCGGCCGGGTATTTCTGCTCATGGCCGGGTATTTTTCTCCTCCAACACACTTCACCCCAAACGTGCTCCTTTCGACCCGAAACCTGTTTCTTCGCCTCGATGCCAACGCTAAGCCCCGAAATATGAAATAAACGCCCAACCTAGCGTGAAATCGGCTTATAACACGAGAATCGACATCTCAAATGGCTCAAGAACAGGGGTAAAAACAAGTGCAATCAATGGTCTATCAGTTGTCATGAGAGGACAATTGCATGGAAGATCATAGATATCCGAGGGATCGGATCAACCTTTTGCTTGCACAAGATCCTCTTGGATTAAGTTGCCAAACCGGTTCATCAACCGCAAAGGCGTGTGAATCCCAACCTGGAGGAAGTGGTAAAGGCAAAAGTAATCAAGCTTTTGGATGTCAGGATCATCTACCCCATCTCGGATAGTTAGTGGGTGAGCCCAACTCAGTTGGTCCCTTAGAATGGAGGGATGATGGTGGTAGCTAATGAGAAGGAAGAGCTTATCCCAACAAGAACGGTGATCGAGTGGAGGGTGTGCATTGATTATTGGCGATTGAATGATGCCACCCATAAAGATCAATTCCCTTTGCCTTCCATCTATCAATTTCTAGAGAGGCTCGCTGGGCATGATTATTACTGTTTCCTGGATGGGAATTCAGGGTGCTTCCAGATCCCGATTGCTCCAGAAGATCAAGCCAAGACAACATTCACTTGCCTTTCGGAACATTTGCTTATAGGCGCATTCTGTTTGGATTATGCAATGCCCCAGCCACATTCCAGAGATGCATGGTGGCCATTTTCGATAAACTCGTGGGGGATATAATGGAAGTGTTCATGGACAAATTCTCGGTATTCGGAGATTCATTTTCTCAATGTCTTGCCAACCTGGAGAAGGTCCTTGAATATTGTGAAGAAACCAATTTGGCTTTGAGTTGCGAGAAATCACATTTCATGGTGAGAGTGGGCATTGTGTTGGGGCACAAAATTTCAAGGAGGGGAATTGAAGTGGATCGAGGCAACGTTGAAACAATAGGCAAGCTTCCTCCACCAATCACGGTCAAGGGCATCAGGAGTTTCCTCGGGCATCAGGGATTTTACCGACGCTTCATTGAGAACTACTCAAAGATGCATTACCACTGACAAAGCTTTTGGAGAAGGATGCTCCCTTCCTTTTCACAAAGGAGTGTATCAAAGAATTTAACATCCTCAAAGCAAAGCTCATGAATGCCCCCATAATGGTTTCGCCGGATTGGAGCCTTCCTTTCGAGCTTATGTGTGATGCTAGTGACTATGCAGTGGGAGCGGTGTTGGAACTAAGGTGGGGTAGGCCTTTCAACCCATTTGATACGCTTCAAAGACGTTAAATGATGCTCAAGAGAATTATACAACTACAGAAAAAGAGTTGTTGGCAGTAATCTTGGCTTTTGACAAGTTCAGGTCATACCTTGTGCTTTCAAAAGTTATTGTCTACACTGACCACTCCGCCATTTGCTTCTTGATGAGCAAGGCCGATTCCAAGCCCCACCTAATCCCATGGACCCTACTTCTCCAAGAGTTTGATGTGGAGATCAAACACAAAAATGGAGCCGAAAATCTTATGGCAGACCATCTCTCTCGACTTGAAGGACCGGGAGGTAGCATCTCCCAAAGAGAGATAAATGACACCTTCCCCGATGAACGCTTGTTCGTGCTTGCCACTATTGTGAGTGTCGCCCCTTGGTTCGTCGACTTCTCCAATTACTTGGTCGGAAGGCAACTGCCCAAGGGGATGTATACAAATGGGAAAATGAAGTTCTTCTCCGATCTCCGGTACTACTTCGGGGATGATCCTCACCTTTTTCAGATTGGGGCCGATGGGGTCATTCGGAGGTGTGTACCATAGGAGGAAAGGCCGACTATTCCAAGCCACTGCCACAAGGGACCAGCTGGAGGCCATCATGGTGCCAACCGAACTGCAATGAAGGTGCTTCAATTAGGATTCTATTGGTCGTCCCTATTCCGGGATGCCTACAGATTTGTGATTCATTGTGACAGCTGCCAAAGGACATGTAATGTTTCTAACATAAATGAGATGCCCCAAATGATTTCCATTAAATGTGAGATTTTTTATGTTTGGGGCTTCGACATTATGGGTCCTTTTCCCTTGTCTTTTGGAAACAAGTACATTCTTGTGGCTGTGGACTACGTCTCGAGGTGGGTCGAGGCTCAAGCTCTCCCCCCTAATGATGCAAGGCGGGTCTATGGATTTCTTAAAAAAAATGTTTTAACGATTTGGTACCCCGAGGGCCATCATCAGTGATAAAGGAACCCATTTTCAGGGGAAATTTGACAAACTCCTCGATTGTTATGGTTTTACCCACCGGGTGTCAATGGCTTATCATCCCCAAACAAGTGGACAAGTAGATCTATCAAATAGGGAACTGAAAAGGATACTGGAAAAGACGGTGGATCGATCCCGCAAGGATTGGTCCACAAAACTAGATGATGCTCTATGGGTATATCGTACGGCCTACGAAACCCCAATAGGCGTCTCGCCTTAACAATTGGTGTACAAAAAAGCGTGTCGTTTTCCCGTAGAGCTAGAGCATAGGGCTTTCTGGGCCACAAAGCTATTGAATATGGACACTACTTTGTGTGGAAATGAAAGGAAAATGTAGGTGATTGAACTCGAGGAGTAGCGCTTCCAGGCCTATGAGAACACCAAGATTTACAAGGAAAAGACGAAGCTTGCATGATGCTGGACTGAAAGGAGGGAAGGATTTTAAACCGGAAGAGCATGTACTCTTGTACAACTCCCGGTTATGATTATTCCCCGGGAAGTTAAGGTCAAAATGGTCGAGCCCGTCTGTGGTAACGCATGTGTTCCCATACGGGGTGGTTGAGATATCCCACCTAGAGAACCAAATTTCAAAGTGAATGGACACCGCCTCAAACGTTACCTTGGAGGAGAGGTATTTCCCCAAAAGGAGGTGGTGTTCCTACAAGATTCCTAGTCCAAAGTCTTCGTCTAGCTTAAGACATTAAATTAGCGCTTGTTGGGAGGCAACCCAATGGAATTTAGCAAGTTTCTCTTATGCTACGATCGTACTATTATGTGTAATAACCTTGCCTCGAGCGAGTATGTGTTGTGTTTGTGTGTTTGATTTTTAACTTCTCCTTGAAGCTCAAATCTCCTACCCTGGAAAAATTCCAACTTTCACTCACCAAGCCATGCAGTAAAATCGTTCTACCCCTATCTTCCGCCATTGAGGGCAATGTTGAACTTAAGTGTGGGGGGTAGTTTATTATTGTGCTTGTGTGAGTGTGATTGATGGTTGGAGCCTAGATGTATGCCCAAATTTGAAAATTTTGACGGCTCCAAGCAATGTTTGCATGATCAAAGTGACTAGTTTGTGGGAGAATCTCGTGTTTATTTGCATTGACCTTGAATTGTTGCATGTGATTGAGTGTGTCCTATGATGATGACTGAGAGGTGCATAAGGATAGTTCAAAGTTTTAGTTCTCATGTGTGCAAAAATGAATGGATGTCTTGACTCGATTACTTGTTGATTACAATTGCCAT